AATTAATTATATTATTTTTAATATCTGTCGGCCTCTTATATCTTTTAATTTATTTATTTTATAATTATTTATAAGTTATCTGTAGAAATCTTTTATAATATAATTATAATTTTATTTTTTATAGAAAGAACAGCTGCTGTATTTTTAATAATTAAAATAAATATTATTATTATTATAAGAATAAGATAAGTATAATTATATAAAAAAAAATCTTTTACTAAATATAATATAATATAAAAATAAAAATAATTAATATAATTTTTAAATTAAAGCTGTGCTCTAAGTTCTAATTTAATTATAATATTTTTAATTTTAATATTTATATTTTTAATCTAGAATATAAGAAGACTAATATTAATAACTTTTTTTTTATATTTATCTTATTTTTAATAAGTATGAGTAGCTATTTTTTAAAATTCTTAAAATTATTTATATTTATATTAATAAATATATTAATTTATTAATTTTATTATATTTAGTTTTTATTTATTAATATATTTATCCAGGTACCTTGTGAAGATTACTAGTAAAAAAGATTTTTATTTTTATATTTATATATATTTTTTTTATATTATTTATATTAATAAGATATTATCTTATACTGGTACTAATTATTTCTAGATTAATATATATAATATCTTTAATAAGTCTTAGAATATTATTATTTATATAAATATTAATTAGATTATTTTATCTGTTTATATTTATAATATTAATTATATTATTATTATTAAGATTTTTTATTATTTTATATATAAGTTCTCTGATTATTAAAAGAATATTATTTTTAAAAATTAGAATTTTATTTTTATTTTTATAAGGACTATATCTAGCTCTGTTTAAAGAATAAATTTAAATAAAATAATATTTATAATATATATTTTATATTAGTATATTTTAATTAGAAATATATAATATAGTACTAGAGTAATTAATAATTTATAATTACTTTTATATTTATAATATATTTTATAAAAGTCTTTTACTGAATACTTTATATTATTATTAGTAGAATTAAGATAATTAATAATTAAGAATTATAAAGATTTTAATTATTTTTTATAAAATTATATATAATCTCACGTACCACCTGCTTTATTATTAATTTAATATTTATAATATTATTTTTTTAAAGCTTCTTATTCTTGTTTAATATTATTAGTTTTTTATTTTATATAATTTATTTTTTAATTAAAAATTTTTTTTTTAAATTATCCAGTGCGGGGGCCAGTCTAATATATATTATTATAATAAGATTTAATAAGATTTTCTATATGCTTCTCTCTATTAAATAAATATTAAAGATTTTAAATATATAATATTTATATATAAAAATTATATAAATTTAATTTATATATAATATTTGATTTACAGTCTAATTCTTTATAATTTTTAAAATAACTAGAGAAAATAAATACAGATTATAATAAAGATTTTATAAGTTTAAACTAACTGAATTTATTAAATAATTTATAATTAATATTATATATTTATTAAGGTTTCTAGTAAATAATTTAATAATAATAAATCTTTTTTTAATTATTAATCTAATATAGATAACTGCATAATCTAAGCTAGTTTTAATAAATATAATAAAAATATATATCTCCTCCTTAGAAAAATAGGTTTAAATAAAAAATTTCTTTTCTTTAAGAAATATTTAGTTATAAATAATTAATAATATAATATATATTTTAAAAATATTTTATAAAAGCTATTCCAGATCTTCTATATTAAATTATAATATATTATTATTATTATTATTAAATAAAATATTAATAAAATAATACTCTTTTATTTATATATAGAAATTTTTTATAAATTTTTTTTTTATTATAATCTTTGTCTCTAGACTCAGATATATATAAATTATTTATTTATATTATTTAATAATATTAAATAATTTTATAATAGCAGAAGCAGACAGGCTGCTTTTTATATTAATAAAATCTAATTATAATAAATTTAGAATTAATTTATAAAGATAATTTATATATTAATAAATATAACTTAGCTTCTTCTAGTTAATAATAAAAATATTTTTATAATTTATAATTTTATAAATTTAATATATTATAAATTTTTTTAATTTAAAATTTAGATATAGTATTTTCTTGAATATAAAAAGAATATTTATTTTAATTTTATTATTTAATTTAATTAATAGTACAAAGTCCTGTGTATATTAGATTATAAAATATTAAAATAATTTTCTTAATTAATATAAAATAATATTAATATCTTATACTTTTTTATTAAGAATATATTTTATTATAAATTTCTAGTTATAAAGTAATTAATTATCCTGTATCTCTAAAGTAGTATTTATAATTTATTATATATAATTATTAATAAATATTATTTTTATATCAGGATTTAAGAGTAAGAGAAATCTTATATATTTTAAAAAATTATATATATTATTATAAAAAGATATAGCTATTAATAAAATATAAAATCTAATATATAATTAAATATAAATAAATAAGATACCTGATTTTTTATTATATAATAAATAAATTTTATTAAATATAATAATTTTAAAATATCTCCCCAGATTGTCTGGGAAATCTATAAATATATAAAAATTAATTAAATTATATAATTTTTTTTATTAATATATTAAATTTTTATTATTTAAAGATTGTAGCAGGTCTTTTATATTTAATAAAAAATTATTATAATAATATATATATTTACCAGCCTGTCTTTAAAAATTTTATATTTTTTTATTAATTTATTTTTAATATAGCTTCCAGCCTGACAGCATATATTATTATAATAAAATAATATTTGAAATTCTTTAATTATTAATATAATCTTATTTATCTATTACTTAATAAGATAAAATAAAATAATAATAATTATAAAATAATTTTTTAGAGAGTCTGACCCGTCTCTCTTAATTATAATAAATTTATATTTAAATTTATTTAATTATTATATTATATTAGTTATAAAAGCCTTTTATATATCTTTAAAAAAATATTTATATATAAAAGAAATATAATAATTTTCTAAATCTTTCTAATACTGATAATATCTATAATAATTATTTTATATAATAAACTGAGTTATATAATCTTAATAATATAATTAATATATATAAATTACTAGAATTTTAGTTCCTGACTATATAGTATTCTTTTTATATAAGAATTTATTAAATTTTTAATATATAGATTTCTACAGATTTTCTTATAATTATTAAATTAATATTTTTAAGTGTCCAGTTACTTCTTATATATTAAGATTTTTTTATAATTTTTTAATATTAATTATATAAGCAGGTTATTTAAATCTGTATTATTATTAAAAGATTATTATAAATTCTCTATAACTTAGTATATACTTAATTTAAATATATAATTATTAAATATTTTTAAAATATTTATCTCTTTTTTCACGTGTTTAGATTTTTTTAATATAATTTTATTATTTTTATTAATTTTAATATTTTTAATAGTTTTAGTACTTTTATTATTTTTAATATTTTTAATAATTATAATTATCTTCTTTGCCTGAGCTATAATTTAAGATTTTAATAATTATAAAATAGCTTTTATACAGATATAAATTTAAAATAAATTTTTAAAATTAAATATTTTTAATTAATATTTAAAAATTAATTTTTATTAATTATTTAACAGCTTATGCTTCTAGACTGGAATTTATAATTATTATATTTTTAATAAATCTAAAGACTTATTATCAGTAATAAATAATAATAATAATAATAATAAAAATTCTTTATTTAATATTAATTTTAAAATCTTTTTTATATTTAATTTATTTTTAATTATAAAATTAGTTTTTACTTTAGCTGCTTACTATATTTTAATTTTATATATTTTAATAAATTATAATTTTATTATTTTAATTACTAGAGTTAACTATAAAAATTTTTTATAAAATATTTTTAAATTTTTACCTAGTAAGGTTGCTCTGAAAATAATTTTATTATTATTTAATTTATTAATTTATAATAGATTATATATTTATATTAAAATATTTTTTAAAATTTATATTATTATATTTATAGTATTCTCAGAAAGATTTCTTTAATAAAATATTTTTTTTAATTTTTATATATTTTCTAATCTTATATTATATAGAAAATAAATAAGATATTTATTAAAATTTTATTTTATTTTATTAATATATTAACAGCTGTATTTAATAATATTTTATATATTTTTTTTAATTATAAATTTTTAGATTCAGGCAAGCCCGGCTCTCTATTTTTAATTATTAATTAAATTTTTTATTATATAATCTTAAAATTTAAATTAATAAAATTTAATTAAATCAAATAATAATCAATCTTTTTAATTATTTTTAAAATTAAGTTTTAATAATTTTTATAATTTTTTTTTATTTTTTTTAATTAGTTTCTGTACCGCAGTTATCTCTGCTATAATTATTTTTATTATATTATTATTTATTAAAAAAAATTTTATATTATTTTTATTATTTATTTTTTTTATATTAGTACTGTTTTCTTATATTATCTATAAAAGTTTTTTAACTTATTTTTAATTTAATTTATTACTGCTTCAGCTATTTTGCTTTAATATAAAAAAAAAAATAAAAATAAAAAAAAAATAAAATAAGTAAGAAAGAGAGGAAGAAAAAAAATAAAAAAATAATATAAAAAAAAAATAAAAGAATAAGAAGAAAAAAAAATATAATATATATAAAAAAAGAATAAAATAACAGTAAATTAATAATAAAATAATAATAAATAACCTGTAGAAAACTCAGTCAGTATAAAAGAAAAATAATAATATAATTTTTTATAGATAGATTAGAGATAGAAAAATAATAGATTTTTAATAATAATAAATAACTATAAAATAAGTTTTAAACAGTTAATTTTTTATTATTTTCTTAAATATAGTTTCAAAGTAATATATAAATACTAGTATAACTATTATGTACAGTATAACAGAATACTTATAATTTATCTTAGTTAATAACTATTGGGAACTGTTATGCAACTGGCCACAACTCCCGGTAACTTCCACCAGCGGCCTACTATGATGTTGATCCTTCTTCTCCCGTCACGGACCTCATTTCCGTATCAGTTTCATGACCCTGACCCTGCCAAGGCGGATCATTGACCGAGCGTAGTCCCTGCTTCGACTTTATCCGCCCTATAGGCATTGATGATATCTGCAGGTGTGAAGATCTGCAACGTTTCCTGTTTGAATATCCGTTTACCTCTACATTCGGACGTTTCGACTTGAATAACGGTGGATGGGGAGATGTTGCCGAGAAGGGTGCATTCTGCTTTTCTCCGTGCTGGATTGGGATAGTTAGGATGAGAGGAGGATATAAAGGTTGGACATTCTCATCTCCTTGGACACTAACTGTAGACTGTTAATCGAGCAGTCATCATGAAGTTTCAGAGCACCCTGCTTCTTGCCGCCGCGGCTGGTTCCGCGTTGGCTGTGCCTCATGGTCCTGGACATAAGAAGAGGGCGTCTGTGTTTGAATGTAAGCTTCCATCTGCATTGTTGTTGCGAAGCTGACAGCATAGGGTTCGGATCGAACGAGTCTGGTGCTGAGTTTGGGACCAATATCCCTGGGGTTTGGGTATGTATCATTGCCAAAGTATAGGCGTATGCTGATGTCGCAGGGAACCGACTACATCTTCCCCGACCCCTCTGCCATCTCTACGTTGATTGACAAGGGGATGAACTTCTTCCGCGTCCAGTTCATGATGGAGAGGTTGCTGCCCGACTCGATGACTGGCTCATATGATGAGGAGTATCTGGCCAATTTGACGACAGTAAGATGATTCCAGTCTGCTTTGAGTAGTGCTGACGAGATAGGTGATAAGAGCGGTAACGGACGGAGGCGCCCATGCGCTTGTCGACCCTCATAACTATGGCAGATAGTAAGTACGCAGTCCCCGTAGGTGATGCTTGCTAACCAAACAGCAACGGCGAGATCATCTCCAGCACGTCGGATTTCCAGACCTTCTGGGAGAATTTGGCAGGCCAGTACAAAGATAACGACCTAGTCATGTTTGACACTAGTAAGTACCCACAATCCCGTCAAGAATCATGCTGACAAGGCAGACAACGAATATCACGACATGGACCAGGATCTCGTGCTGAACCTCAACCAAGCAGCCATTAACGGCATCCGCGCCGCAGGTGCGACCAGCCAGTACATCTTCGTCGAAGGCAACTCCTGGACCGGCGCCTGGACGTGGGTCGACGTCAACGACAACATGAAGAATTTGACCGACCCCGAAGACAAGATCGTCTATGAAATGCACCAGTACCTAGACTCCGACGGTTCCGGCACCTCGGAGACCTGCGTGTCCGAGACCATCGGAAAAGAGCGGGTCACTGAAGCTACACAGTGGCTGAAGGACAATAAGAAGGTCGGCTTCATAGGCGAATATGCCGGGGGTTCCAATGATGTATGTCGGAGTGCCGTGTCGGGGATGCTGGAGTACATGGCGAATAACACGGACGTATGGAAGGGTGCGTCGTGGTGGGCAGCCGGGCCATGGTGGGGAGACTACATTTTCAGCCTGGAGCCCCCAGATGGAACTGCGTACACGGGTATGCTGGATATCCTGGAGGCGTATCTTTGAGGTCTGGGTGGGTCGCAGATGCGGTGCATCGGAGAACTATACGGAGTATCTTGTCCGGGTGGGCGGTGGTGGTACAGAGAGTACTAGTCTAGTATACATTAGTGGCAGCGCACTGACTGACGTCACAAGGCATTCCGTTTTGGACGCTCCATCCTTGTGCATTCTGTTGAGTGTTACCTGTAGGCACTAGGCAGTGAGGCACGCCTGTCGCTGAAATAGTGCACGTTGTACACCGTAATCAGTAGTCAGTGGATTCTTATCAACGATCATCAAGTATAGCTCAACGAATTGCGTAGGAAGTAGACATCTGATGACCCACAGATCGTAGGATATACATAGCTCTCCTCGTCAGCCTTATCGGATAAATCATGTTCGTGGATGAACACCGCGATGTTGTTGAATGCACGAGAAAGCAACGACTGCAGGTAGGGCAGTGATGGGATGGTCGAGGCCGATGAAGGAACCATGGATGAGAGACGGGCCCGCCAAGACGCTCAACGTAAGCCCGGGTTAATAGTCTGGTCGATCGGAGAGGGTCAATCCCGGCACTTTTCCCGTCTGCCGCGACGGTTGAGAATTGAAACAGCAGATTTGCTTCTTTTCATAGGTGGTCATGAAGTCATGACTCAACTAGTCGTGGTTGATTACGCCAGTTGCCTTGCTAAGAATACTCCGTGGTGATGATCCATCAATCACTGTTGAGATGACTTCTTGGGCACTTCATCGGACGTCCCTGAGGCAGTACCATGGGACGGACAGCAGGGAAGATGTCGATGCAGAAGAAACTTCCGAGAAATGTCATGCATACCAATAAAAGCATCCAACATTGACCGCGTATTGCCAAGCTCAGAATGATGAAGCCTAGTCAGTGGAGGTTCAGTGGATGGTGGGCTGAGGGTGAGACACGCTCATCCAGAGATCCAGGCTCACAGGAAATCTTGGGAATGAGATGGTTAAGCAGATTCCCGATGATGACGATCGCTACTTCACTGTACGGTGCCTCTTTGGTCCACCGTGTATCAGATAGGTTGGTTGAAGTGATACGATCCAACTGGACCCGACCGACATAGATTGCGCAGGACTACTCAGTTAATAGCCAGAATTCCCGTGTGTGTATAAAATTGATGAAATTGAATACATCAACTGACTTGATAAAATATAAAATATTAGGAAACAAGGTTAATTCCAGAGTAATAATAATAATGATAATAATGAGGAAGAGGACGCGTATTACCCCAGCCACTTTCTGACGTGGCGGTAGGGCTGGTGAGTCTCCGCCACGAGGGTCAGTCTTCTCAATGGGGATTAGTCCCTTGCAGTGTGTTCTGTGCAATGTCAACAGAAATATTGCTTGCTATGAAAATATCTGCTCATTACCAGAACCCTTTAAAAAAAAAAAGGCTCCACTATCAACCGTGCTGGATCCCGCGTTTGGGTTGCGGTGGAAACTCGCTCGAATTTATTATAGAAACAAGCGTGGCGTAGTCCATCATCTGCCCTCCGTGATTGGCCCGCTGATCAACCAAACTCTCTCCATCTGACTGCGCCTCCCCAATAAACTAAATTCAAAGCAGTAAATAACAAGTAATTTTGTGTTGATCCCCCAGCAGCCTCTTTTATAAAATCATCCTGTCCCAGCCTTCTTCTCATCTTACATCTCTCACATTTTTCATCACCACCCATCACCCTGATACACTCACGTTCAGTGTCCTGCTTCTATTTATTTAAAACACCTGTTCGGACCTAAAATCAAATCTACCCCCCCGATAAGCAAGGGAAAACAACCACAGCATACATACATCCCCACGACATCCTCCACATCAACCGTCACCATGGGTAAAGGCGGTCGCATTGTCTGCATCTTCACTCCATATGTCCTCACCATCGCCTCCTTAATATGCATCATCATGGTGGGCCTGGGCTGCACAAAATCCAGCTCCAGCACGCTAAATGATCTCTACTTCTTCAGAGTACGTCTTGCTTACCTTTCATGCATCCCCACTCTCATGTCCGATCGTACTGACTCCGCTTCAGGCCAACCTCAAGAACATTACCTCCGAAGCCTCTTCCACCGTATCAACAGTATCCTCCGTCGTGAGTGACCTGACCGGTGTTTCGGATGGCGATCTCTCCGCTGCGCTCGAGGAAATCGAGGAACAATACAACATCGAGGACTTCTATGCCATTGGTCTCTGGGGCTACTGTGAAGGAAACATCACCTCCAACAACAGCTACCAAACCAGCAACTGCTCCAAGCCCGAGGCCGAGTTCTGGTTCAACCCTATGGAGGTCTGGAACTTGGAAGAGACCGGTCTGGAGAATGCCCTTCCCAGCAACGTCAAGAGCGCCCTGAACACCTACAAGGCCGTTTCCAAGTGGATGTTCATCGCCTATGTCATCGCCTTCGCTCTCACCATCGTCGAGCTGGTCGTCGGTGTCTTTGCTATCTGCAGTCGCTGGGGTAGCTGCGTGACCAGCTTGGTGTCTGCTGTCGCTTTCCTCTTCACCGCTGCCGCTTCCGTCACTTCCACCGCCATGTTCGCCGTCCTCAAGGGCGTCTTCAAGTCCGATCTCGAGCAATACGGCATCAAGGGTCAAATGGGCAAGAACATCTACGTCGCCACCTGGCTCGCGGTCGCCTTCTCCCTCGGAGCCACTCTCTTCTGGATCATCAGCTCCTGCTGCTGCTCCGGTCGCTCCCCTTACAACCACCGCAACCGCAACCGCGCTGTCATGGCCGAAAAGACTCCCTACACCTACGAGGCTCTGGGCCCTCACGGCCAGACCCAGCCGATCCCTTACACCAACACCTCTTACCCTCCCCCGCCTCCCATCCACAACAACCAGACCACGGGTCGCACGAACGCCTATGAACCCTTCCGTCATGCTTAAATGATGGTCTACCACCAACATCAATCACAAAAACCACTTCCTGAATAGGAAAGGAAGGAATTTCATTCAACATTTGTTCATACTGGCGTTCTGGTTTGGGTTGGTTCGGTCATGACAACAACAACAACCTGATGATGACATTTTTCTATATTTTATTCGTGTATTTTGTTTCCAGCCAAGAAAAGGCAGGAAAGCTAGTGTGCATACCCGTGATACCCCGAGTATGGAGGGTTTGGAACTTGGATTATAGAGCCCTTGGTCCGGCACTGATTCATTCAGTGCTGCGACTCTTGGCATGATGAATTAATGCTAGTTGCATCCATCTATTGTATATGAAATGAGAATATCTACCTTTAAACATTTTTATTTTTATGTTTGGTAACTAGCCCATTGGTAATTTCATCATTAGTAACTTAGTAGGGGAAAGAAGGGATAGATGCACGTCGCTGTTTGGAGAAATAAGATGCTTACCTACTACGTTAACAATGCATTTGTCATTTTGTTCAGCTGAACAATGCTTCCTGTTCGGGAAGTGGAAAATGGCCCATTTTTAAATTGCCCACCTCTTGCTGTATAGCGACTCTTCGATTGAAATACCATCTGGCCTTGCTTTGAGAATCACAATACCCCTGTTAAACAATCCACCTCCATTCTTCCCATCGAAGAGGCATTAGAATACGGGATTACTGGCTTAAAGATCATAATATATATGAACCACACTCATATCTTTCATGAATAATATCTTAAATTAGAAGACGAAATATAGTAGCGACCTTAATAATAGTAATACAAACAAAGAAGGTAAAATAACCACCTTAAAAACACAGGTAAAAAATAGGGTATACGAAGAATAATATCCCAGAAGATAAATGAATTAGAAACATGAATAGGCATGAAATAGCCTTCACCCACGATACCCAGGACGCTGGATCACTCCCTTTTCGTCAACAGGCAGGTATGCGCCGCCTCGTCGGTTACGTTCAGAAAGAACGGCCTGGTCCGCTCGTGCCCATTGCTTGAAGGGCGTGTTGGGGTCGTCGGACCAGACAGGGCCTTTGGGACGGATGTGTCGAAGGGACACGAACCAATTCTCGTTGACACTTTCCGTGTCGGATTCGGGTTCGAGGTCTGAAAGCTGCTGCTGCTGCTGCGCGAGCTGAGCGGCATCTTGGGTCTCTGCGCCGAGCTCAATGCTGGCTGTTTCGTGCGTCTCGTCAATCATTTCGTCGTCTTCGTCTTCGTCTTTCTCTTCCTCGTCTGAATGGTCGGATCCGGAATCTGCGTCACTATCTGGGGGCAGTGGTATTGCGTTTGGCTTTGTTTCTGAATCGGTGTCATCGTCTTCATCGTGGCTGGTCTCGCTCACCATGTCGGATTCGGTTGAACCTTGTGGGGATTGGGGGACTGAGTGGTGCTGTAGTTCCAACTCATCGTCCTGCCCTGTGCCTGCTGGGTTTGCCATTGCAGCTTCACTCTCGGGTATACTGGAGTCCAAGTCCGGTTTGGGTTGTTCGTCCATGACATAATCCCCACTCTCTGGGACGCTAGAGTCCAAGTTATCTTCCTGAAAGGCCTCGTGCGCAGCTGAGGGTATCTCCGCGCAATCAACGGCATTCTCCACGGCACCGGACTCTGGCTGTCCCGGCTCTGCCAGCTCTTCAGCAATGGCTGTTCCCGCGCGAGTGTTGACCTGGCTTCGTGTCTCCTTTTCGTCCAAAGTAGACTTCAAGTACTGTTCTAGTTGCGCAGACGGGGTGTCTTCATTCACAAACGGGTCTTGAACGTCGTAATAAGTTTCGCCTGCAGGAACGGAAGACTCCAAGGGTTGATCGTCCACCGGCGGGCCATCCCGCTCGTGCCCAGTCTCATTGACTGGAATACGTGATTCCGAACCCCGTTCCGAGTCTGTCTCCATAGCCTCTTCGTCCAATACTGGGAGGTCTGGTGCATTTGTGTCGCGCCTGACCTTTGTCTGAGGCGTGGGAGACGACATAACACATGACATATAGTCCATATCCGTATCAGACTGGGTTCCCTGAGTCTCAGGACCAAAGGAATGGGCGTGGAAATTAGTGAATCGCTCGACAAGACTCCCCGTAAAAGAAGCG